ACACACACACACACACACACACACACACACACACACACACACACACACACACACACACACACACACACACACACACACACACACACACACACACACACACACACACACACACACACACACACACACACACACAGCAGTAAATCGTTGCACACACACACTTAAAGTCCAGTCAAAGACGATCTGAAGGTTTTAAGTAACAGCAGGGCCTTGCTTGCCAAGGGGATTACAGACAGTGTGTGTGTGGACGTGCACAAGCATTGAGCATTTCTGTCCCCTCGCCAGTCTTGTCTAATTCAGCCGTCACATATCCTCTCCGAGCTAAGCAAACAAATTCCCACGGCCGTGCTGTCTGTGTGTAAACAACACAGACATCACGCCTGCTCGATTCCACACAGTGATAGATTAATGACTTAAAGGAGAGCACTATACGTCTGCTGCGGTGCTGGAAAGTACGCTTACTTAAGAATTGTACTATACTTTAGTTTCCATTGCTACTAGTTTGGACAAAGTAGCCGAAGATGCCTGTAAAAGATGAGGGCCAGCAAGAGGATGTGTGTGTGGCTGTGCGACACATCCTGCTCTCCAGGGATTCTCCCCCCTGGGATGAGAGATGATCTAAAACACCCTCCCCCCTTTACTAAACCCCACCACCTTCACCCAACTCCCCATGGCAGGGCTGGGCCGCTCAGATAAGACGGTACAATTAATATCACCGCGGGACTGCACCCACGGGGACACTTCAAAGTGTGTGTGCTTACTTTAAACTGCCTCTGTGAGGGAGTAGATACATGGCGTGTGTATGCATGGGTTTAGTTGTTAGAGACTGTGAAGCCATATTTCTTTTTCCCCCATTTTACATTTAATGGGTAATAAACACGCTTTTTATTGCCGCTGATCACATCTGTGAGTGCGGCAGCCATAAGCGGATTAAATCACACATATCAGGAAATGTTACACTCCCTTAACACAATGACTTTCAGTTGGGAATGGTTAGGAAATGTACATAAAAGGGAAGCAAAGTAATATATCTTTTAAAGGAGTGCAGTGGATTGATTGATGAGATGGATTTTTCCTTTCGAGAGGTGAAAAACATGTCACAAAATACAAACATTAACCAGACCATGAGCAGAATATTTCCTCTTTAAAGTATATTTTGGCAGAATTTTGAGATTGCATCTAAATCGTTTTTCTATGATTTAATCAACTTGGAAAATACTTTTTATAATGAACTCTTAAAGGCAGACCATGACGTGAGGAGGCGACGTGTGTCTGAGGTTTACCTGGCTGTGATCTGGGTCATTGGTTTCAGGCTGAGGGAGGAGGCCACCTGTCTGAGATGCAAAGTGTGATTTGAATTAGGATGTAACTTAATCCCTCGTGTGAACTGCAGTGAGCTCCACATAAACCTCCTTGGGGTCGAAAACCACTCTATCAAATTGCAGCGGCGAATAATCGGACTTTAATCGCTTTACTACCACAAACTTATTGCATTACATTTATTAGATTCTCGGTTTGTCTGTCTATCTTTTTTATGGAGTAATTCTATTTCATTCCAAATGATTGTGAGGATGCTAAGATTTAACATATTGAAGAAGAAGCACGAAGCAATAGGTTTTTGTTGTTGCTGCTTACTTTAATTGAACGATCATCTTGGGGTCAATCTGATAAAGCCTCGGCCTCCTTTCCTCTGGCGATGGCTATCTCGCCAGATTGAAACCAAACGGGGATATTTCTCCTGACCCGGCTGCCTTCCTAATCCTCAGTGCCCAGATTACCCCCCCCCCCCCCTCCTGGCAGACTGGAGCTGGGATAAAGAATGAAGGAGAGAGGCTGGTGGTGTCTCCTCCTGTAATATGCTAACACTCTGCTGCTGATATGTCTCATCATTTGTTTCGTCTGCTTTTTCTTCATGTCCATCTGTCGCCTGCTAGGGGTAGATTTCTGCACTGGAAATGAAAAACAACCCATCTTACTGTTCTTATCCTTTCTCTTGTAAAATGCTCATTAGGATAGAACTGCACCAGGTACAACGACATTCAAAAAAGACAAGAAATAAATAATACATTTGTGCAGTGATGACATTCTGAGTTTTAGGACTCATTCCTGCACCACTCTGTAAATACATTCATCCATGCACATATATATACTATGTACACACAAACACACCTTCAGGTAATTGCAGTGATTATTTCTGTTGACAGAGGATTTGTCTTTACATTTTGACGTAGCCAGCACTAAATAATCATTCTTTATCTGTAGACTACCTCGATCACCATTTACACATCTTTTCCCTGATTTCCTCCCTCTCTCTTTCTCCGGCCCTCCTTCCTCACATCATTTCGGTTTCGCTTGACCTTCTGCTCGAGCCCGGTGGCTTATTGTCCAATTCATCTGTCCTCCAATCTCTCCCTGTCTCTCCCCATTGTGCTTATTGTTCCTCTCACTTTCTCCTCCTCCCGTTCCTGCCTCCGCCATCATCCAGAGACTTTGATTTATAAGCTTGCAGCAAAGGCTCCTCCTCCTCCTCCTTCAGCCGAAGACAGAGCATTTGAGAGATAGCAGTAGAAAGGCAGGGAGGACATTTGCCAGCCAAAAGAGAGACACACAAAGCATTTGAATGTCGGCGAGCGTTTGGCACAGATTTGCGTACCTGTGCCTGAAGCGGACAGGAAGTGGGTTTTTATCTCTTTCAGTAAGCGACAGGGAGAGGCCAGAAGGTGGGCAGATACGGTCGCAATGAAACTGGGTACCCAGGAAAGAGAGTTAATTAAAAGATAGCACGCACGCGGACAACTTTTTAAACGATTATTCGAAAACTTTCTGCCCTCATGTTGAGCGGGATGGGACTTGATCTGTTCTCTGTTAGCGCTGCTCACTGATTTCCCTGCTAACAAAGCTAGAGGGACATCTATTGGCCTGAGGGCATGTGAACTCTGCAGGTGCATGGTTTACCAAAGTGTGAGCTGATCTGTGCCCAACTTATTTTCACAATCATATTTGTAATTAGTTTCCATGCTTTAGTTTTTCTCATACTGCCTGTGCTGCAGCACCTCTTTTCACCCTCTGTCTGAAACCAGAGCTCAGTCTGCTCTGATTGGTTAGCTGGCCGGCTCTGTTGTGATTAATCAACCACTCAGAGATGTCACGTACAATGTGTTGGAGTGCTAGACCAATAGTTTCAGGAGGACATGACTTGTTTTACTGTTAGGACTTAGAAGTTGTTGACACTAATGCAGTGTAATGTTTATTTGTCTGGTTAATGGCTTGGGTAGGGCTGGGCAATTTCTTTTTAATTACAAATTCGGCTTCCAACGGTTATGAAAACAAGGTAATGGAGATAAAGTGATAACGGCCGACAGGAACAACAACAACAAACACTGAGCAAGATTTGTTACCCAGTGGTGTCCGCACCACAAGGCAATTTAAGCAATTTGTTTAATCATCTGAAACACAGAGGGAACAAACAATAAAAAAAGAGTAGAACAGAGAAAAGTAAATCGTGACTTCTTCCATCGCAACACATCTCTCGAATGCAACCTACATTTATATTTAAATACTATATGTTATTAATTGAAAGGGGTCTTTTGTACCTTTCCTGTAGTGTGTTATATAGGTTTTTGTGCATGTAAACAGTCTTCTGGAACATAGTGACATCACTATGTAACACTCGTGCTTTAAAATACTAATATATCTTGTTTTCATAGACACATGCGAGCTAAATTAATGCAAAGATTTACATTTTCCAGCTGTAAATGTGTCCAAATGGATGGATGCAGCTACTCTCACATTGAAAGGAGACTTTTTGCCCCCGGCTGTTGGGAGAGAATCAAGTCTGCAGTAAAGAAATATGCTATCCATCTCACAAAACAGCATTTGTTTGCCTGCCAGTGCCTTCAAAACCATTAACAAGATTAGGGAGTGCGCAGCGGTCCCTCTTCTCCCTCCCTCTGTCTCCCTCTCTTCTCTCCCCCATATTCCCTCCCATTTTGTTTGGAGCTCATTTGCCAGTACAATGCAGACATTCACCTCCTCTGCTCGGGGAGCTGCAGGCAGTACAAACACACAGAGAGATGCAGGAAACTATGTATGATAATGTTGATTATACTACTGTACTTTTACTAAAGTAACATTTGGAGTGCAGGAGAAAATCTGCCACTTCCTTACAGAGCCCCTCCTCCAACACACATGAACGCGCACATGACCAATGAGGGCACGAGATAAGTCTGTGCACAGATGGAAGGCTGACAGGCAGGTAGGCCATCCAGTTATTTTAGCCGGCCCGGCTAAAATGATTGGTCTTGCTTTTTACAGTACTACGGCTTCCACAGATGACATTTTTTTAATGGATTTTTTGTCAAAGCACTTAAGATATTCATTGCTATCGGGATGTTAAGAGCATTCCATGGAATATAACAAAAAGTGTATCTCGAGCCGGTTTCTCAAACTTACCTACCCCACCTTTAAGTAAAGAATATCTTCCACACACACACGTATACACTTGAACACACACACACACGTCCCTTGCCTCCGGCCAACCTGCTCCTGTGCTGTGCAGAGAGAAACATCCCAAATGAATCAACGGAGTTATATAAGCAGCATTCTGCCTGCATGTACACTATTCCCATAAATGGTGTTGCACAGGGCAGTTGAGTAGGTGTGTGTGTATCAGATTGCTCCAGGCTGTGTTTGAGGCAATTTATTCCTATAAAAATATTCATTATTTCTTTGCTGTTTTTCTGCAAGATCGTTACTCGACAGCAACCAACAAATATGAACAGAGGCATTGAGAACTGCCCCGGTTAAGAGTTTGATTATAGGAAATCAAACACAAGATATTAATGGGAAATGTGTTGCTACACTCCTTTTCTAGCTTATCTTCTTTGGTTTCTTGTTTCCATTATTCTCTCATCACAAAGAGGCCCTAATATGCTCCTGCATGTTATTAAGCGTTACATCTGACTAAATCTCTCTCTCTCTCTGTGTCTCCTCTCACCCTCCAGGTGCCTACAGATGTTTCTATGGGTCTGTTGGCAGAGCCCCAGGTGGCCATGTTTTGTGGAAAACTCAACATGCACATCAACGTTCAGAGCGGCAAGTGGGAGCCGGACCCCTCGGGCACCAAGAGCTGCATCGGTACCAAGGAGGGCATCCTGCAGTACTGCCAGGAGGTAAAGAGGGGGGGTTGAACAACACAATTGTTCAGGGTTATAGAAATAAATAGTCTGTATTCGGGTTAAGAATTTAGGCAGGAAAGAATGCCTGTATCAGACTGTATTGCAATATCTCATTTTTTCCTTTCTAGCTGATTTCTTATTTGATTTTGCTGTGTTTGTGCAAGTGAGGACGATTTTCAGACGTAGGTGGTACCAATAAAATGCACGCCAAGATGCCAAAAACGCAAGATAATGTGAATATCAGAGCACAGACGGAGGAATTTGTTCCTGCTGGTCTGAGAGAATGTAAGGGCACAGAAGTCCATCACGAGTGGGTTATAGTCTGCAGGCAGATTAGTTTCTTATTCACCAAAATCCCCAATTTGGCAGGTTGACACGATGCAGAAACTCTCAGTAAACAAGCTGCTTAAAGCCATGTGACTCTGATTTAATTAGACGGTGTAGAACAAACCTAAACCAAACGACACAGTGAACCTCTGTGTCGTTTTTTGGGGTAATTTGCCAGCAGTGTAAGCTATCACGGGAAGTGATAGAGAGGGTTGTGTGATAAACAGATGTGATGCATAATGAGATTTCCATGAAGAAATCCAGAGATAACCAACACAAGCTCACTGAATCAGCCTCAGGACCCACACTCTCATCATTTTAACATGTTGAACTTGAATATCAAACATATACATAAAGATATGCGTTATCTTTTCCATCCCTAAACTGAATGTAAGATTGGATTTAGACTGTGAGATTGACAAGGTTATGGTAGCATCTTGTTTTCCAGAGACACAAGAGGAGAGGAAGCAGGAGAGGAGGTGTCTTGATACAAAATGAGGGGTGGTGGATTTGGACAGGGTGATGACATGTCAACTATTGTGCAAAAAACAGGGGGACAGGGGGCATGTGAGCACATAGTCTCCTCTTTTAGGCTTTATCATGTCACTATAATGTATTATAATACCCTATGTGTGTGTGTGTGTAGGTGTACCCAGAGCTGCAGATCACCAACGTAGTGGAGGCCAACCAGCCAATCAGCATCCAGAACTGGTGCAAGAAGGGCCGCAAGCAGTGTCACAGTCACCTGCACATCGTGGTGCCCTACCGCTGCCTGGGTGAGTCCTGTCATCGATAATAATCTGGGAATAAAAACATGATTAATCACAATCTTAAAATACTAGTATCAACAGATTATTTGACCAGTTGGTTTAAATGTGGCTTTGTATGAATTATAAATATGGATCCTGTGTTTCCTGCAGTGGGAGAGTTTGTGAGTGACGCCCTGCTCGTGCCTGACAAGTGCAAGTTCCTGCACCAGGAGCGCATGGACCAGTGTGAGAGCCACCTGCACTGGCACACCGTCGCCAAGGAGGTGAGCACGCACACACACACACACACACACACACACACACACACACACACACACACACACACACACACACACACACACACACACACACACACACACACACACACACACACACACACACACACACACACACACACACACACACACACACACACACACACACACACACACACACACACACACACACACACACACACACACACACACACACACACACACACTTCCATTACTGTAACGAGCAGGAACAGATACTGATCCATCTTTCTCATCCTGTGTGTGCGCAGTCCTGTGGAGACCGCACCATGAATCTCCACGACTACGGGATGCTGTTGCCGTGCGGTATCGACCGTTTCCGAGGAGTCGAGTTTGTGTGCTGTCCGGCGGAGGCGGAGCGAGACGCCGACAGCGCCGAGAAGGACGCTGATGATTCCGATGTCTGGTGGGGTGGAGCGGAGACTGATTACTCTGACAACAGGTACACACACACACTCACTCACTCACACACACTCACACAGATGAATGAGGGCAAGGCAGCAGCACATCAGTTGATCAGAGTGGCCGCCACTCTCATTTCCAGCATGAGGATAAATTGGAAGCAAACTGCAGGTAATTTAAGGTCTTTGTCCTTCCCTCCCTCACATCCATCCTTCCTCATTTCCTCACCCCTCTTTCTCTGTCACCTCACCTTCCTCCCAATTTCCTCTCCATATGTGTCCTTCCTCCCTTACCTTAATTTTTCCATCTTCCCCCCTCCCCCCCCTTTTCCTCCCAGTATGGTGCGGGAGCCGGAGCCAGTGGAGCAGCAAGAGGAAGCGAGGCCATCTGTGGTGCAGGAGGACGAGGACGAGGACGAGGAGGAGGAGGAGGAGGTAGCCCCGGAAAAGAACGAGGAAGCAGCAGCAGAGGATGAGGAGGAGGATGAGGAAGAGGACGTGCTGGATAACGACCAGGATGGAGACGGAGAGGAGGACGAAGAGGCAGTGGAGGAGGAGGAGGAAGACGAGGACGAGGAGGAGGGAGATGACGTCGTGCTCGACACGTTTGAAGATGACGCCGACGAGCCCACCACCAACGTTGCCATGACGACCACCACCACTACCACCACCACCGAGTCTGTGGAGGAGGTTGTCAAAGGTAAGAATTTTTATTTGTGAGACTAGCTATTTTTCTTTTTCATTATCAGGGTGTGAGGAGGCCTGTTCTAAATGAACTGCGTTTAATATATCCACATTTCTTGAAGAGACTTAAAGGGGCCCTATTATGCATTTTGTGGGTTTTCCCTTTCCTGCAGTGTGTTATACACACAGTTCCCACACTTTAAATGAATGTGACACAAGCACACAACACGTGTTTTTTTTATGCTTTGCTAAACACAAATTAATTTCCTTCTGTCATTTTTCTTATTGTGCTCATTTATTTTTTCAGAGCTTTCATTAGCTACGTCCCATTACTATCACAACAGCTTTGTTTCTTCATTTACGGTTAAATTGGTCTTGAATTAAATTCCAAGATGCATAAATAGCTGGCTCTCTTCATGCTAGATTAGATCAGATTGGATATACTTGTTACAGCGGCATGTAAAAACACATTGCACATGAATTATAAAATACAAATGAAAACCGTGTGGCTTCAAACCAAAGCCTTGTTATATAAGAGCTGGTGAAATCACAGCTTCAATCAGAAAAAGTGTAAAGGGCATACCTGTTGAGCTAAAGAGACTTCTCTGTGGAGGTGTGTGTGTGTGAATCATGACAAGTGTGTGTGTCCTCCCAAGATGTGTGCTGGTCCAATGCAGAGACCGGTCCGTGCCGGGCCATGCTGCCCCGCTGGTTCTTTGACCCCCAGGAGGGCCGCTGTGCTCAGTTTATCTACGGCGGCTGCGGAGGCAACAGGAATAACTTTGACTCAGAGGAGTACTGCCTGTCTGTGTGCAGCAGCGTCAGTAAGTCTCCATTAGCAGCCGGTGTGTCTCTAACCCTCGCTTTTAACTCCCTTCCTGGCTGACCTTTAGCTTTTCCTCGCCGTCCGTGTTTTGTCTGTCAAACAAACAAGTGTGTTTTCTCTCAAAACAGACTTTCCTCTAATCTCTTTTGGATTCTTAAAGCCTCAAATATGATCGTGTGTGCACCCCCCTTCATTCTCACACTGCTTCTTCTTATGTGCTGGAAAACCTGCCTTTCCTTGAGCATATTCAGACCCACAATGACACATTGATTGATTGATGGTTTTCCCTCCTTCTTGCTATATTCACTTATTAGATTTTCCTCATAATGAAAGGTTAAATATAAAGCGTATTTCTCGCCACTTCCTGTTGAGCTCGTCAGTCACAAAGGGAACTGATTGGGTTTCAAATAGCTGCTCTTTGTCCTCGCCAAGAGAGTGTGTGTGTGTGTGTGTGTGTGTGTGTGTGTGTGTGTGTGTGTGTGAGTTTGTAGTGGAAGGTGTTCTAAGTGTTTGGCTGATTTCAGTGACCTTGCTCGAAATGTGTGTGTGTGTGTCAGGAAGAGCATGATCTGCCCCGCAGCAAAATGGAGTCATGCTCTCTCCATCCCCCTGTATTTTAATCTAATTGTATCCGTACCGAGTGTGTGTTTAGGTGAGAGTGTGTGTGCTTTGGTGTGGGATTTCTAGGGTGTAGTTTGCAGTGAGAAAGTGCTGCTGTATCTTATTTCCTCCACTGCAAAACACAAACGCTTACATGTCGCCATCTTTGTTGTCAATATTTCCTTTTTTATTATTTCTAATTTTCTAATTTGAAGTCTGCTGTGTGCAGGATGTAACTTGATGAAGTGAGAAATTGTGATTGCTCGGCTCAGGACAAAGTGAAAAACATCTCTTTGCTGTTTTCTTTTCATCCTGTGCAGTCATGCGCTCTCCCCAGACATAACTGATTTCACATGACCTTCATACACACGCAATCACACACGGATTCATACACCAACCACTTTTACAAGTGCAAATATATGTTTTTTTAAATGCTCCACTACAAGTTAAAATACTGATTTCAAAAGGAAATACTTAAGTACGCTTTTTGACATATTTGCAGTTAAAGGTGGGGTAGGTAATTCACTTCAGAAACACTTTTTGTTATATTCCATGGAATGCTCTTAACATCCCGATAGCAATGAATATATTAAATGAATATATTATTTGACAATAAATACATAAAAAATATCATCTGTGGAAGCCGTAGTACTGTAAAAAGCACGACCAATCATCTGAGCCGGCCCGGCTAAAATAACTGGATGGCCTACCTGCCTGTCAGCCTTCCATCTGTGCACAAACTTATCTCGTGCCCTCATTGGTCATGTGTGCGTTCGTGTGTGTTGGAGGAGGGGCTCTGTAAGGAAGTCTGAAGGAAGGGGCAGATGTTTTTCGGCTGCGTACTTTCAAATTCTAGCGCACTCGAGCTGGTTTCTCCATTCTTACCTACCCTACCTTTAACTTGAGTAAATGTACTTTCCATCACTACTTTAGCAGCTTTTGAAAGGTAATGAACTTTCAAATCATTAAATCCGGATTTCATGCAATCATATTTCTCGCTGGTAAGTCGACAACATCTCAGTCTGTGCTTTGAAGCCGAGGGGAGTCAGTGGCCGTTTCTCAATGTCGAGTAAAGCTGCTGCAGAGCCACTATTTCAAGTATACTACGTCATCGAGTGGCGCCGAATGCTGGGCATTTAAACAGTCCTTCGGCGCCACTCGATGACGTAGTATACTTGAAATAGTGGCAGCTTTACTCGACATTGAGAAACGGCCAGTGTTTCACAGAGAGCAGAGTTATATAAAAGAGGAAGGGTTTTGTCTCTCCTACACAAAAGACTACTGGTCATCTGAGGCATTCGCTTGTTTGCTTTTAGAGGCGGTTGGCTTCCAGCTACTACCCAGTTTCTTCCTCTCACTAACCCTTTTAACCCATCTAAGAGGCCTTTTATGCTTGTTCAGTGTGTTGTATAGGTTTTTGTGCACGTCAATGACCTGAAAACACTCAAATCCCAATTGTACATTATAGGCTAAGGGGGGGGGGGCCTCTCTAAACGGTTGACAAATCTCAGGAGAGCCGGCCAGCTAACCAATCAGAGCAGTCTGGTTTCAGACAGAGGGTGAAAAGAGTATGAGACTGTCAAAGTAGAAGCACAAAATACTAATATCACCCTGAAAATGAGCATATAAGGGCCCTTAAGTGTTTAGTGTGTGCAAGATAGACCAATTAAGACGCCTCCTGGAAAATCTTTTGAACCCCTTTACTTCCTTTTCACACAGTACCCACAGCCACGCCCAGCTCCCCCGACGCCGTGGACCACTACCTGGAGACGCCAGCGGACGAAAACGAACACGCCCACTTCCAGAAGGCTAAAGAGAGCCTGGAGGCCAAACACCGCGAGAGGATGTCGCAGGTAGGACGGATAGGAGGGGAGGAAGGAAGGAAGGAAGGAAGGAAGCAGAGGATATTTAGCAGACTGAAAGCTCATCAGCAGTTGATGCATACACATGAATGAGTAAAAGATTAAGACTTTTCAAAAAGGAAACGGCTGGATTTATCAACCCATTGTCCCCAGCAATGACAAACAACTGTAACCCCCTTAACGTTTTTGTTTTTCTGCAATCATATCTACAGTTGATTTCATACTCTTAGGTCATTTTTTAATTAAAGAAACCCCCTGTGAGTCAGAGAGGGTGACACTGAGGTACAATCATCTTTTTACAGCTTGGAACTTGCCAAAAAAGGGGAACAGAAATGGTTTATGTGGTAATAATAACTTTATTATACTGCAGAATCTCCCTCTTTTTCTCAATCTTATTTAATCTCGTTTAAATTGAAGCTCAAAATCACCAGACTTTTACATCCTTTTTAACAGAGAGAGATGATTGAAGTTTAAACGTCTCTCCAGACCCTCAACTTGGGATTTCTTTCAGATTTGACCCAGGATCTTTTTCTACATTTCAGGTGATGAGAGAGTGGGAGGAAGCCGAGAGGGAAGCTAAGAATCTGCCCCGTGCTGACAAGAAGGCCGTCATCCAGGTAAAAAAAGGACATGCTGGATGCATAAAACCACAGGATATTTTGCGGTGTGCTTTTTTATCTATGTGTTGCAATTTGTGCAGCGCTTCCAGGAGAAGGTGGAGGCGCTGGAGCAGGAGGCAGCCAGCGAGCGGCAGCAGCTGGTGGAGACGCACATGGCCCGGGTGGAGGCTCTGCTCAACGACCGCCGCCGCCTGGCTCTGGAGAGCTACCTGACGGCGCTGCAGCAGGACCCCCCTCGGGTACGCTCAGACAGAACACTGGATCCAAACCTGTCATTTCCAAAATGTCTGGTTTATATCTGAAACAACCGGATCTTCTGATATCGAGAACCAGGGTTCTTACGGTCATTAAAAACCTGGAAAAGTCATGGAAATTCAAAATGCTAATTCCAGGCCCTGTAAACAATATTTTTCCCAACGTTTTGGAAAAGTCATGGAAATGTAACTAAAGTTGCATCAAATATAATTTATATTTTATTTAATCGCTGAAATAGTAATACTATAATGATAATAAATACTGTATCGTATAGTAATGAAACGTAAAATGGCATTTAACTGACGAGGTATTTTGCTGGTGAGAGATTGCGTGCAGAAGCTAGTAAGCCTACTATTGGATTTGTTTTAGATAGGCACAACATGTTTCATATGCAGACCTTATTTTCCTGTTCCATGTTAAAATAAACCATTTTCAGTGGTACCGCTGGTAAAGGTCATGGAAAAGTCATTGAAAATCATTGGTGAAAAAGTGTATGAACCCTGGAGAACACAACGGGTGGAAAACATTGTCTCCATCTGCTTTGTACCGTGTTCTACACATTTTCGCTCCCCCTCGGTTGCAGGCACAATGATTTGTTTCCCGATCCAGACTGTACATAAATAAATCCCCCCGTCCTTCCTCTGCTCCTCACCACCTGTCATCTTCTGCTGCAGCCTCGCCACGTCTTCAGCCTGCTGAAGAAGTACGTTCGTGCCGAGCAGAAGGACCGGCAGCACACCCTCAAACACTATGAGCACGTCCGGATGGTGGATCCCAAGAAGGCTTCGCAGATCAGACCTCAGGTAGCAGCGTGATTATACTTATAAACAGCCACTTTACTAAATATGGTGTGTATTGTACTTATCTGCATGTGTGTGTTAACAGGTAGTGACCCACCTCCGCATCAGTGAGGAGCGTATGAACCAGTCTATGGATCTCCTCTACAAGGTGCCCGGGGTGGCCGACGACATCCAGGACCAAGTTGGTGAGTCATTTTGAGACCTGTAGCACAAATATTTACAGAAATATAAATTACTAAGTACAGTAAAACAGACCAATAAACAAAACCTATGAACATAGGATAGATTGTACATTAATCAAAACTGTTTGGTTAAGAAAAGAGAAGCTGTGAGTTCGTAGCACCGTGTGACTGCGCATGAGATAGAAAATAAAAACACTCTGTTCTGATTGTGTTATATGTCACAAAGAGATTACATCGCTCTGAATTCCAGCAACTGAAAACCCCATTGTTTTGTTGATCAGGACATTTTGTTGTGCCTAATTCTTCTGTTCAGGGTCAAATAAAACTGTTTGCTGGGAACATAAATCCCTCTCTCTCGGTGTCTGTGGGTTTTTGGGTTTATTGGAGTTTTGTGCGTCACGCTGCCATCTGTGTCTCTGTCTCGGAGATTGTCACAGTCTGTGCTGCGCGGCAAAACACAGGACCAAACATACGCAGAAGAAAAATATCTATGACATTTCTTAAGAGGCTGTCTGTCCCTTTTTTTCTTTAATACAAACACCCGTCAGCTTTTTTAATCATAATTATTAAAGAAGTTGTAGCAACTAAAGTTCAAATAAAAGTCGCTAAGAGGCTCAGCTAGGCTCTTTGCTGTGACGTCATCCAAGAGAAGTCTAAACAAGCAAATAATAAATACATTTGATCATAGTCAATTATATTGCAGATGAGTTTATATATTATAGCGTTTTCATTATATAACATTTTTATATATTAAATTATATTGCATGTATATTTTTCAATCATCACAGAGAGCTTTTTAATGCTGTGACTTACTGAAGACAACAAGATGCGAGAAGTTTGCTAATATAATAATTTGATAATTGACGTCTCCTCTTCCTCCTTTGTTTCACTTATGTCCTCTCTCCTTCCTCCCTCTCTCCTCTCTCCTCCCCCCTGCAGAGCTCCTGCAGAGGGAGCTGGCGGAGATGGCCCAGCAGCTGGCCAACATGCAGACGGACGTGAGGGTGAGTTACGGCAACGACGCCCTGATGCCGGACCAGGAGCTGGGAGACGGTCAGATCGAGCTGCTGCCCCAGGAGGACTCGCTGAATCTGGGGGGGGTGGGCTTCATCCACCCTGAGAGCTTCAACCAGCCCAACACAGTGAACCAGGGTACATACAGAAATGACCCCTAAATGCTGTAAAGCAACATGCAATCCACTCTTGGCTTCATATGCTTTTTTGTGCTTGAAAATAATGTCAAAATGTATTTCTCTTATATCTCTTTCTAGTTGAGCCAGTGGACTCTCGCCCCAATTTTGACCGAGGCATTCCCACACGACCAGGTTCGTGCAGACGTAGCTCACAACATAGCTCCATCTCTCTCCTTCTGTACACAATTGTTTACACAGCGGAATCCACTTGACTTCCATTGAGGCACTGGCTGAACTATATATACACACACACCATATATTAAATTCATAATGTTGTAAGATCTAACACTTGTGTGTGGGGGTGTGTGTGTGTGTGGTGTCCCCATCTTTAATATTACCTTCCTTCCCTTCGCAGTGACTGGAATGAAGATGGAGGCGATGCCCGAGCTGAGGATGGAGACGGAGGACAGACAGAGCACCGAATACGAAGTCCACCACCAGAAACTGGTAAACACACACACACACACACACACACACACACACACACACCGTGACACACAGGTGGGATAGGCTAAGGGGCGGGACATCTCCAAGTGGGTCACTAATCACAACAGAGCCGGACAGCTAACCAATCAGAGCAGACTGGGCTCTGGTTTCAGACGGAGGGTGAAAAGAGGTGCTGCAGCACAGGCAGTATGAGAAAGATAAAGACCTTTTTGAACATTAAAGCATGGAGACATGTCACAGCTCTGCTCTCATTCCATATCCATTTATATATTGAGACTCATGAATAATCATGGAGAAACACACAAGCATGTAAACATACGTGATGCGTTTACTGACACATGCAAGCTTGCACTCTGCCCTCTCTTTTCCATAAGCACACACACACACACACACACACACACACACACACACAGGTCTCCATCTATGGTAAACTCAAGGTTGTCACCATGGATACGGGTGTCTGTGGAGACAGCCGTGACAATGCGTGCGTCACACCGTCAAGTTTGTATCTGCAGGTATTTTTCTAAAACAATATCTATTCATTAATCCAATGTGGTAATACCAGCACACAAAAAATAAACCTCAATTCATCCCCAAATCCAAAGCCGTGCACCTTATTCCCCTCACCTCCAGGCTTTAATCTCTTAATCCCTACATTTTATAACATATCACATTTCCTGCATTGACAAAAAGCAGCCAGCGTGTAAAGCAGCCTCCCTGAGTCGACTCCTAATTTAATATTCTCCGTAACCCCCCGATCAGTGTACTTATTTTGTCCGGCTCATGGCAATGAATATCAAATGGATACTTTACTTACATTTCCTATGTTTATATATCCTATTTTACCTTTTTATTCTTACTTTTTATGTTTAAAAAATGGCTTGATTTATTTATTTATTATATAGGAGCTCCAACAAGCCGTTTAGGACAGAGAGTGAATACACATACTATACAGAGATGCTGAATGAGAAACCAATGTGAGTTTGGAACATTGAACAATGTAAATCTATTCTAGTAGAACTCAACAATGGAAATATGATCAGTAGAAATGGCCATGACATGGGACCTTTAAATCATTCTAAAATGGAACAACGGTCGAGGTCTGATTCTGATGAATATAAAATAAATCACAAAACATCTTCACTTCAAGTTCACCAGTCTCCGCTCCACTCAGGGTTGCGATGGGTTTTTGTTATTATCTTCATTTTTGTGTTGTTTGTTGGTCCCATTATCAGAAGACGCCTTTTGCTTCCATTACTTTTGTTTCTGCACAAAAGGATTTCATTTTTGTATCTCTCCTCTAAGTATTGTGTTGGAGCTGAGTCATACTGCGTTGTGCTCTGCTTTCTGTATATCAAGGACTTGCAGGAATTTAAGTCAACGGCAGAAAAAAATTATTCCCTAGTTTTTATATTTTAAAGCTAAATTTGACTCGGTAATGACACTATTTTGGAAAACAAGTACATTTTTGGAAGGGTAATCTCTCACAGAATGCAGTGCGATATAATTTGCATAAGAATAAATGAGCTGCAACTCTGGATGTTATTCTCCTGCAGTCATATTCAAGGGGCCCTATTATGCGTTTGGGTGGCCCCTTTCCTGTAGTGTGTTTTATAGTATTTTGTGAATGGTCCTAAAGCCCAAAGTTCCATCCCCTGACAGACCCTCTGCCCTTCACCCCCCGCAGGTCTTCTTCGCAGAGGACGTTGGCTCCAACAAGGGCGCCATCATCGGCCTGATGGTGGGAGGCGTCGTCATTGCAACTGTGATCGTCATCACCCTGGTGATGCTGAGGAAGAAGCAATACACCTCCATCCACCACGGAGTCATCGAGGTGAGAAACAGCTGACCTGTGTGTGAGCACCGCGTACAAGCTGTTCTGTACGGCAGTCAATCTGGTCTGTGTGTGGGTGTGTGTGTGTGTGGGAGGGGGTGGGGGCACGTGTGAGTGCAAGCTGCTTCCCTGCATCAAATGTATGCATCATGTGTAGATGTACGTATGGAGTATATAGGAGTTAGAGTCTGAAAAAAGGTCTTGATACTGTACACACCTTCTAAATGTATAATTATTTATATATATTATCATCTGTTCAATTTAAGAATACGGTAGCTGTCGCAGCTTTGTTACTCTATTTTTGCCAATTACTATACAAAAACACTTCCAGGAAAGCATTAAAATGCTCTTAAAATGTAGATTTCCAATGTGTGTGTGTGTGTGTGTGTATATATGTCTAACCGCCCTTCCCCCCCCCCCCTCTTTTGGCTCCCTTCCAGGTGGACGCGGCCGTGACCCCCGAAGAGCGCCACCTGTCCAAGATGCAGCAGAACGGCTACGAGAACCCGACCTACAAGTTCTTCGAGCAGATGCAGAACTGAGGAGAATGTCACACACATTTAACACACACATCTCCTCCCACACATCAAACACCTCCCCTCCCCTCTCTCCTTCCTCCCCCATGTCTCCAAATAAGGCAGGTCATTGTGACTGAAATAGTCAGTTACGACGATCAAACGGAGCGACTGCAGCCAGGGGTTCCTTGCGTTCCCTCCTGGGCGGGACCGCGTTCGTTCACGTTATCGGAGCGAGACGCCTTTTAATTAAAGCCCCGTGTTTTTATGTAGCTCCGCCTTGGCCTGCTGATGTATGGTATAAAAGAAGGCCCGCCCAGTGCAGAGAAACAAACCCACCCGTTGGGGAAAGGAGCGCTTTCTCTCCCCACTGATTCAGGGTTGGTGTGTTGTTGGGTTTTTCAGTGTTTGAGGTGTGGAGAATCTGACCTCTGATCAGTGGGATTTAAGACGCATGCTGACCCTGGGCTTCATTTAGAAAAAAGAGCCACATCATTAGTTGTCTCATATTCTTTTTACTGATTATACATAATAAAATATAGGCTTAAATCAAAGATATTTTTCTAAATGAAGCCCCTCACTACTGCACTCACTCTACAGTCTACACTGGAGTATCCCCCCCTCCTCCTCCCCCCTCCTCCCTCCATCTTCTTTTCATTTTTACAACAGCTGGGCTGTGTTAAGTCACACGAGGCTCTTAAGGATATTCGGAGACGCTGATATTAATGAGTATGTTGATGACGACGGTAGTAATTATGTATTCTGAATGAGCTGTTTTTTTATTTTTCTCTTTTAGTTTCCAGTTTTGTTTTTCAAAAAAGATTGAAGAAAACAGAGGATAAAAAAAATAAATAATGTAAAGTCCTTTTTTTAAATTGCGTGTGATGTTACTGAAGTAATGCTGAAGTCTTAGCTGTTCCTATGTAGTGCATGACAACAGGATTCGGAAAAAAACACAAAAACAGATCTTAACGCTGCTCTCTCCTGAGATCATTTCTCACATATAGATTGTCATTCTAGCAAGATTGTACATTTAGTATCTTCTCGTGATCACGTGACTTCAAACGATGAAAAATATATATAAATCTAGATGAACGGGCTCTGCTTTGATATCATGGAAAATACACATTTAAAAAGAGATCTGTGATTTTGGGATTTAAGTGTGTTTTTCTTAGCTTTTTTCTTTGTTCCCGACGCTTCATCTCTGTTTGCATTTTCACGGAAATATATTGATCCTTATGCATCATTTTTTGTTGAATTCATGTTGTTTGTGTGGAAAGGGGCATGTTGTGGGTGTGAAGGTGACAGTGACAGGGACGGGAAATTGAAAAATAAACGGGAGGTATCCGGCATGGGGGATGGGTTATGGGATTACGTGTGTTTTGTCATTTTCAGTCTGGTGTTTCGTCCAGTTGTAAGCCAACACCGTCTTATATTTTGTAATGATTCTTGCTGATAGAACAAGTGGAGAGCAGAGAGGAGGTGAGGAAGAGAGGGAATGACTTGCAGTTACGGTTGAATAGCCAGGCCTGTATATATATATAATGGATTTTCACTCCTCTCCTTCCTCCCTCCCTTCCCCTTCCCTTTCCTTCAGGCATGCTGCTCACATCTTCAACACACACTCCTCACTGTCGCCTGTATGCATATGATGGGCATTGAGAGAGATTACAGCGAGTCAGGGAATAAAACAATCTCCCGTTCATCTCCATACAGTCATACTAAAGGTTTGTCCCCATGAAAGAAACACAGTGAGGAGATGGTGGGTTTTTATGAAGGCTGCAGTGGGGTGGGTCCTTTGGTTTTCACAGTGTGCTCATGAGACGCCCAGCAGAGGGCAGTAGAGTAGAAGAGGAAGCAGGATTTTCTTTCTATTGTTTTTATTTTTCCTTCTCTGTGGGGTTATATTATATTGGTTTTGTTTTCCACTGTGTAATATTGTGCAGGCCATTTGCATCTACTGGGAAAACGCTTTCTACACTGTATTCCATAATAAAGTTTTGAATGTACATACAGATGCTGTGTCTGAGGTTTTTATTGCATTTAAGATAAGATAAACCTTTATTGAATGAAATACATGTCACTGTATATGTGAAAACTGCCGTGTTGCCTTCAGATATCAGTTGTTGCATTGTTGACAGGAGTTTATTTTATAGGAACACACAATATTGCACAATAATCCATTGCAATGTAATACAACATTTAAAGCTGTGCTTATTTATTTTGCCAGTCCTCTAACACATTTTAAAGGAGTTCAGCCAACTATGTGATATATGTTATTCTGTTGACTTATTATTCAGTATTTCCGGCTGAAGGACATATCAGAGGGCATCATGACACAAATTAAGTCAGGTAATTTCGCCAAAGGTTAGAGTACTTTGCATTAAACTGAAACAAAACGATTGCTTTAAGCAAACCCTATCTATAAATGATTGATTCAATAAAATGAAATGTTAAGATCAAGGGGTTAAACTACAATCCATTTAACAAGCAGAGTACAATTATTAATGTATTGGTGAAAAGTGTTTGCTCCATACATCAATGCATCATTACATAATGATAAAAGTAACATTTAGGGAAATCTGAAATTGCAGAGATAAAAGTCAAAATAGATTGAACAAACGATTCAACAATACTCCATACAATGAAATTCTGACGTGTTAATCACAAGGCAAACAGCTACAGCTGATGACATAATTTAATAATTTAACCTCTAAATAAACCATTTTGGAATAAGTTTGGTGTCATTTGAGGTCACCTAAATATGCGCAGCGCTGCGCAAACAAGGCTCCTTTCTGACGTCCTCGAGCGCCACACGACCTCCCACAATCCACCGCGGTCCATCACATTCGGATATACTACTCAAGAGTGTCAAATCCAAGGTGAGTGCTGCTTCTTGATATACACTATTAACCTTTTACTTTTACGCTATATGTCGTCACTCTACATGCTGATTAATGTTTTTTTGTTTAATTGTTTGTTTAATTGGAGAGTATAATGTTAGCGTGACTTGCTGCAACACAATACACGAGAGAGGACACGGTTTGAAAGTCTCCTAAGCTAACGCTATTTTAGCATGTTGGCATTAGTTAGCAATAAGTCAATGATAAACCAATGCTGCTCGACGTCGTTGTGACAATACTTATGTAAGCAAGTGTTTAACATGTCACAGCTGTTAAATGTGTAGCTATCAGCCTCTTTCACCAGAACCTCCGATGTGTACAACAGAAGCTAATGAATGCTCAATTAGATTCTATCATGCTAGCGCTACTTAGCTATAGCTATATTGGAAGAATGTACTCATTATTTACCCGAGTATAAGTACTTATACCACACCGTAGAAATAGTTTAAGAAGCCTTAAATTGAAATACTCAATTATAGTAAAAGTACCTCAAAATTGTACTTCCATGTTACATTCCATCATAAGTTCAGTAGATGACTATTTCTGTAAAGTTTAATACAATCCTTTAATAAAACATGTCAACATTTTAACCAGGATATAGTTTCAAGACCCTTTTGAGTTGTACGTTTCTCCATAATGTAATTTCAGGCTATGCAATTCCTACTAATATATGAAACGGACTGAATCACATCCAGATACAGATTTAACCCGAGGCTGTTTGTTCCCTCAGATGGCACTTCACAGATTGTTCCAGCTGTCCTCCATGCTGCGCTCCTCCGTGAGCCTGACGCTGCGCAGGAACATCGGCTTCTCTGCTGTGGTCTTCAACCGGGCCAAGGACCTCGACCCAATCCAGAAACTGTTCCTGGACAAGATCCGGTCCTACAAAACCAAGAGCAGGTAAGTCGATTTTACACAGCCCCATGACCTACACCCACATGACCTACACCCATACTTTGTCCAGTATTAGATTTCACTGATCAGACACAAGCATATTTGTCCTTCTCAACATGCAATTTAATTTCAGTCCTCGTTGCCTATTCATTTAAATGGCATCTCCTCCAGTCATCGCCGTTGATCACGCTCATCTTGTGAACATAATGTGATTTGCCTTGGCTCTTCCAGGGCGTCTGGTGGGGTTGTGGACGGAGATGCCTCCTACGATAAGAACGTGTCTGATGAGATTTTCAAACTGCAGAGGCTTTATGGCGGAGGGGACCTCGACCAGTTCCCTGAATTAAAATTCACAGGTAAGACTGTTTTTGTTTCCTTTTATCTTCAATGACATAACATATGTGATGCTTTTAGTGCTTACAATAATTTAATTTAATTATTTCAAAAATCTCGACCAACTATCGCTCATGATTTTTTCTTCTTGTTTTGTTTTCCAGACCCCACGCATGATGAAGTGGCCAAGTGAATGCTGTCCATGTTGTGTACCTCCTACATGTCACAAATATGTTGTATTTAATAAAAAGATATTGGATTGAACATATGTTTACTGGTTGTTAATTAAGCTGCCTTTGAAGGTTACCAAACACTGGATTGTCTGGTGTTTTTTGTTCCACCAAATCCTTTACAGCTAAGGCATGGTTAAGTTGAGCATGCACAGGAAAGTAACATTTGGTAATACAAGTAAAAGTGTATAAAGGTAACACATGGTCTTTGTGTTGTGTTATTTCTGTTGGACTAATATGTAATACTATACTATATATATATGTATATAAGGGTCTCCCTTTTTTTATATGTCCACATACTATTCTATGTTTTTTTTCTGATATTTTGAACCAATGAAAGATTTATCACCAACATGAATACCGGAAGTGTTGATGCGCAGTAATCAATATTGAGGCACCACCCGAGGACAGGAGCAGCGTGACATCACTCTGAATAAACAAGCATGGTAAGAACTAAAGAATATTTCATATGAATCGTCAGGTTGTTGTAAAAGATATGAAAACAGTTCAAATGTTTATTGTAACAATGCGGATAAAACTAACTTAACTGTGCACCGTGCAGTAAATGTGAATGTTAAATATGCTGTAGTGCTTATGTTTGATGTACTAATTTGTTAGTTTTTGCAATGACCTCATTTCATTACACTGATCATCTCAGCTGTTCAGCCGTCAGCCCTATTAATAATACATTCACATAACCTTAACATTATAATTCATAATAAATATGATGCTGGATATTACCTTTCTCTACTTTTATCAGGGGCAAAACAAAACAGTAAACCCATATTGGAAAAAAAATCAAATTAGTTATTTTAAAACATTGTATGCCATGTTTCCCCCCAATATGTCTTTGCTAATATTATGGGATGGTGGTGGTCATTACTAATTGTAGTAAATCCCCCTGCCTTTTTTGGTCTTGTGGAAGGCCACACCTGATGCAACTTAAGGTAATCAGCAGCGCTCGGACTCTATCCCTGTCTGCAGCAGCTGTCTGATCCCCATGTGCTCTCTTCACATGCTGAACATTGATGCATATTTTGATGATAATGTTTATTGGTGGCTTATCCTTATCCTGCAAAAGCAATGTTGGATTTGTTGTACCAGAGCGTTGTGGCCCTTCCTGATTTCAATTTTGTGTTTTAGCCTTAAAATCATCCCCATCACCTTCACCATCTACATAGATGGTCTTCTACTGCATGTGAAGAAATACATGGTTAAACTGCTCTCACTGGTGGTCCTCATACTTTGAATGGTATGCCAATGCAGAGGCACTTCAGGAACCCTCCCTAAAACTAGAGCTTAGTTTTTACACTAATACTAAACACTAGGGGGAGTCTCAGCCTTACATTGGGGTTTGTATGGAGGATTATACAAACATGAGTCTAAATATTGGCATCAAAATAAAAAAGTACTCATTCTGCCAATTGGTCCATTTCAGAATTATATATATTATGTTTTGATTATAATCATTGATGAATTAAAGCAGTGGTTCCCAAAGTAGGGGGGCGTTAAGTATTAATCACAACCTAAGTAGTTGCAAGTCTCTTTGTGGCTACACTTGTGCACAAATTCAGCAAATAAAATGATACGTCTCCTTTTTCTGCATTGAACTACTGATACATTGTGTGTACTACTCACATTATCTGAAATCCCCTTTCATTTGGGGACAAAAGGCTTCTCTACTAGTCGTCATAATGGGCGGGCCAAATTCCTGGGAATAAATCTAAATCAATGCAACATCCTCCTTAGTGACACACATAAGTGTGTATATCTGTGTCGGTGTGTGCGCATGTTTCACTAGCTGCCAGTTTCACATGCCACCACCAAAACGTCCCCCTCCCTGTTACCATGGAAACTGTGCCCTTTTTCTATTTTCCTCCCCATGTATGATGCTTACCTTTCTAATGTCTTTCCCTTATTTTTTGCATACATTATCCTCCATATTTATTGTTTTCTGGTCATGCATTCAGCCTTATCCAGCATCTGTGTGAGCCCGTGTTTTTGTGTGCATGCTGCACGTGTTTTTTAAGTACCTGTGTATTGAACGGTTCAATAGCACAGACACATATGCCATACATACAGTATGATGACCACATCAACAGCCAATCAGGTTATCGGTAGCTGCTGGTGGGGCTTCAACCAATGGGGGATGCTGGCAGGCGATGATATGTGAGCAGAGCAGAAGGGATGCAGCGCCATGGAAACTGCAGAGGGGGCCAAGAGGAAACAGCGCCCTTTAGTGGCGCCGGATGTCTCTGTTTATCCACTTCTGCAAGGATGAGTTCTGCTTTCTGCTTCAGAGAACTCTGCATGAGGCCTTGTGGTACTTTTTTTAGTTGTCTCCCAACTCAAACTTGGGCAACAGGGAAAGGCTTTTCATTCAGCGTCTTAGATATAGAATTTGTATAAAATGTAGTTTGCGTTTACCATAGATTGCTTGCAAAAAGTTAAATAAATAAACATATGTCAGATATTGATCAAGTTAAGTATTGCTTTATTTTTACTGTATTTTATTAGGGGATGTCCAAAATGTAGCAGTGGGATGTGTATGATTCCCCTCTTAGCCTGTAGGGGGCATCACAAACACATCCGAGGTCTGCCTATCCCACACCTGAGGTAATCCCACCTGCGTCCCTGCACCTGCCACCCACTCCAGAGGAACTCCTGCACCTGCAGAAAGATTACATCAAGCAGGTAAATAGACTTAATCCTCACATTATTAAACACTAATCGCCTCCTCCACGTTTCCCCAGAGCCTTTTGCTCAAATGTTACCAAACCCATTTGATAAAAGAAATTGCTTCAAATGAGCTATAATCATACAAAACCCAGTGGGTTTAAGATCGTAATACCCCTTGTCCCTATCCATTGTCAGCGTCCCTTTTTTGTTGTTGCTGAGGAACCTCCAAAAGACACATGGGAATCTGCATTACTTTTTAAAATATGTATTTGTTTATTCGTGCAGATGACTGTCCACTCCATGTGTTGGGAATACGTTATTCCTGTCGGAGGAGACAACACAGAGGAATACACTGCATGTGAAATGGATGGAGATAAGAAGGGGAAAGGCTGACGTAAGGTGATGGGGGTTTGGATGGTCGACGCTTGCGCGGGACACACTGGATGCAACCGTTAGGGGAGATTAGGAAACTGCGCCTAAATCGCCCCCCCTGCCGGACGCCATGTTGGCTCAGGCGGCACTAGGACACCTGCCAGGGTCCACCCCTTGCCGCCATTTTGGCTCCGCCCGGACCAGTTTCCTGGAAGATAGAGGGAGGAGCCTGGCATTTCTGGAAGTCGGAGGAACAGCCAGTCAAAGCCAGCCAGCATCTGAGCCCACCGTAAGAACGGGAGCAACGGTGGACGAAGGAAGGGTCGGCGGTGTTGGAATATAATTGCAATATTCACAAGCACAGACGGTGCTTGTGCAACGGAATAGTCGTCGACATGCAAGCGAAGGTCTTCCATGTGGGCTCTGGAAGCTGAAGCATATTGCAGACCGGACACATAACGGTGGGATAAGCCATCTGTGATACACTGGGTGTGCACAGCGCAATAACGGTGCGAGCCAACCGGTTATTGCATCGACAGCTAGCTCGCATTAACCCAGCCAACCATTTTCCAGAGCCCCGTTAGCTTGCGGAGAAGGGAACATCTTGGTCGGTGGAAGCTGCAAAGGGGAGTCCTGCGTCTTGTGGTATCCAAACAGTAAGATACAAATAAGAGGCATGCAAAGAGGAGTGTTTTTCTGGAGGAAATCTCCACGCCCTGGGTGCTGTTCTGTGGTTAGCTAGCTCGCTGGCTAGCTAGCCTACCGGGAGCTGAAGAGAAGGTGGGGCCGCGGAGTGACAGCCTAGCGAATGTGGCTAGCCGGCTAACTCGGACACTAGAGTGGTTACTTTGTGTTCCTGTCGCTGACATTTGTTGCTTTACATTACCAGGATCGTGCTGTTTGGGACAGTAAAACCCCACAATTGCATCCTCTAAAATCCGTGTGGGTGGGCTATCTTGAGGAGAGCATCCTCGCCTACCTATATGACCATGGCGGACGACGACGTGCTGTTCGAGGATGTCTACGAGCTGTGTGAGGTGATTGGCAAGTAAGTACACCTGTGGTGTAATGTAACTTATACCAGCCGTGTATAAAGAAATTCAAATCAACCCCACTTGAACAAATTGCAACATTGAAGTGATGAACACATTAATAATTGTAACACATTTAATCTAATAATTTCCACATATCTGTTGCTTTTCCTTAAATACAATTGTGAATGCAGTGCTTTTACTAGTATTCTTTTACCCTGTAGTACTGCTACTATTACTTCAGTAAATAATCCGAGTACTTTTTCCACCTCTGTTAACCATTTTTCCTTCTTTGCTTTTTTATTTTAGTTATTTAATCTAATGTTGTTTCGTTATGGCTGGCTCTTTTAATGTTTATGCCCTCATGGGTTTCAAGAGGAAAGTTCACTGGGTTGGTGAGGTCACTCCTTAAAATGCAGTCTCCACCTTATAATATAATTTAATAGCATAGTTACCTAATGCAGAGTTCTGAAACGGGTGAGGCAGGATTGTTTTAAACCGTATCAGGTAATGCTCAGTAGAACATATGACATTGGTTATCAAATAATGACATGTGTGATTTGGTTGCAGACATCGTTCAGAGATGCAATATTTTGGTTGAAATGTACTGTTTTTCCTCACTTTCCCAGAGTCAGAAGCTATACTATGCTTTTGGGTAGTCTAAAGTTATGTCAAACATCAATATAAGGTTGTGTTGCCTCAGCTGTTGAGTGTGTATGGTGTAAAACATCATAATAATGATCCTATAGGCCTTCCGGAGGTAAGCAAAACTGAGTTGCAGAATGTGCCTGACATTTCATATCCATGCAGAAAAGGGAATTAACAAGACTGACTAGAGACTATATCAATTGTTTACTTCCTTGATTACAGTTTGTAAAGATGCAGTAGTACAGGTATGTACTGTGCAACTAAATATATATTTCTACTTGTATACCATTTGTTGACATTGGAG